AACATTCCAGCAATGTAAGCGATATCTGGACGAGTACAGACTTGTGCATACATAAGGCTTCCTACTACTGACGCATAAGGTATCATTCTCATCTGTTCTTTTTCAACCTCTGTTTTCGGAGATTGAAATAAACCGAAAACATCTCCCTTAACTACTGGAGCCACAGAAGGAGAGCAATGTTGCATGTTATAACGTGTAAGGACACGCTCAATGTAAGCCTTTTGAGATAATCCCAAAATACCATTGACTCTATCTCGGTGTATTTCGATGCCAATAACATAAGAAGCCTCTCCGAGATCTTTCATGTCAAAATTACGCGAGAGTAAGCGCTTGGACTCATGCAACATATCTAAACTACTACTTGCCAATAGAATGTCATCTACGTAAAGGACAAGTATAGTAAAGTTGTTCCCACTCATCTTGAGGTAGGTGCATTGATCCACTTGATTTTTTATGAAACCTTCCGACTTCAAGACTTGATGCAACTTTAGGTACCATTGACGTGATGCCTGCTTCAACCCGTATATGGATTTCTTTAGCTTACAGACTAGGTGCTCTTGACCTTCAGATTTGAATCTTCAGGTTGTTTCATGAACACTTCTTCATCCAAATCGCCATTAAGGAAAGCGGTTTTGACATCCATCTGATGTAGCTCTAAGTCAAAGTGAGCTACAAGGGCCATAACGATCCTTAAGGAATCCTTTCGAGAGACAGGAGAAAAGGTCTCTTGATAGTCAATTCCCTCTTTTTGAGTGTAGCCCTTTGCAACCAATCTCGCTTTGTAGCGTTCAATGTTTCCATTCGGGTCCAGTTTTGTTTTGAAGACCCATTTACATCCTACGGGTTTTACACCGTTGGCTAATTCAACCAAATCCCAAACATCATTTTTCTTCATGGAGTCAAGCTCTTCAATCATGGCTTTACTCCATTCAGAAGACTGATCACTATTAATGGCTTCATTATAAGAGGTAGGATCAGTAAACTTTCCAGCATCCATTTCTGCTTCAGTCAGGTAGGTAACATAATCATCAAAGTTAGTAGGCCTTTTAGACCTAGATGACCTCCTGAGCAAATTATCGGGTTGAGCATTGGCGGCATTGTCTTGATGGTGATCATTTGAGGTGTCTTCATTTCCAGGTACATTAGGAGTAGGAGGTGGTGCAGTGTCCTGCGGATTGGCATTGAGTACAAGAGGAGTAATTGGAGGTAAAGTAATCGACAAGTCTCTCCCCCCCGCGTCTTGTACTTCTAGCAATTCATCATAAGGGTTTTCACTGCTCCCACTGACCTTAAAATCTTCAAGGAAATGAGCATCTTTGGTTTCTACAATGCGAGTGACGTGGGAAGGACAATAAAATCTGTAACCCTTTGAGTGAGAAGGATAACCAATGAAGTAGCAAGTTACAGTTTTCATGTCGAGTTTCTTCAAGAAGGGATTATAAAGTTTAGCTTCGGCAAGACAACCCCATACTTTCATATATCTTAGACTCGGTTTCCTTCCTGTCCAGAGTTCATAAGGAGTTTTAGGGACAGCTTTAGAAGGAACCCTATTGAGTATATGAACGGCTGTTTTTAAGGCCTC